TTCCAAAAAAACTAGGCATCTCAATAGATTTTTTCAAAGGTTACCTTTATATAATTTATCTACTTTATCTGTAAACAAAACTTTTGATTTCAGCTTTAAATATAATAGTTTAAATTCGTTGTACAGTATACACATCATATAATTGGTTAACTTGCAATACATAAATAATTTACATAATTATTTACAGACATACAAATACATAAATTATGTACGAAGGCAACACTTGGAAAAATATGTTGATATATATGGCATAGTTTTTAGAGTTTATTGGATTCGGTTGTGAAATTCTTTACGGAACATGTTTTGATATAATCTCAGTTATACGGGCATTTAATTCTAGAATAATAATAGAATGTATATTTATATATTTAATATAAATTAGTTAGTCACTTAGTTCAATAAGGATCAATAACCATGGTTAAGGTCAGTGTTTCAAAGCTCTGTTTCATTCATATTTTGAACACATAAAATATAAATAAAAAAAGTAAAATAAAATATTGGATACTCATAGTATGTTTACAAAATAGGCCGAAAATCTCAACTTATTCTGTGACCAACCTCAAAATAATTCATATGGTCATGAATTAATTAAACCAGGAGGTTTTTCCTGATAAAAACCTATTGTAACCTATTTAAATATTCAACGGCTATTGAAAGAGTATGTCTTTCTCACTATTTAAGAAATACTACAAACTATGGATGGTCCTAGGTTTAGCATTTTTTGGTTTAAGGAAATACTGTTTCATCGTCAACGTTGTGCAAAGAAGTGATTGGTCTGAGATTACGCACTACCGCTTGATTTTCCTCCTTAATTAATAGTCCGTTGCACAGACCCCTTTTTATCAAATTATTAACATCCGCCTGAAATTTCGTAAATAGCTTCACCTCATCGTAACCTACAGATATTTTATTTACGAAAGTTCTCGGAATTGGGATGATTTCAATCTGGATTTCAATCAAACTTTATTTTATTAGATACTAAAAACTCGTAAATACCCATTTGCTTTCCACTTGAATCGTAAGGTAATTTGATCCCAAACTCCAGAAAAAAGGTGGTCTTCAAAAATATTGAACGTGACCTACTCCTCCAAAACGTCAAAATAACGAGTTTTTATAGGCCAAACGGCCCAATATTTTTGTAGGCCACCCTTTTTCTTTTTTGATCATATTATTTTACGATCCAAGTGGAAAGCAAATAGATTTATACGAGTTTTTAGCACCGAATTAACGAAGTTTCAGGCGGATGTTAACAATTTGATAAAAAGGGGTCTACCTCGGGTTATAATTATATTCGGTGTGTCCAGTAAGTATAGGGAAATATTTGAAAGGTTGGTAGTAGACAATCTACAAATATGTTCATATAAACAAATGCACAATTTCCAGCAGGAAAATAGGAAATTTAAGATTTATAATAAATCTGAACTTAATTAATATATTCTTAAAGCTTATTAAACGAAGGAGTTTTTTTTTTTATAAAAGTGGGGTAAATGTAGTACAGTTGAAGGATGATAAAAAAAAATTACAAATAATTTATGACTTTTTTTAAACAGAACTTAGCTGTTAGTCCTCTTTAAATAGTTTTAACAATGACAAAATCTACTTTCGTTTAAATTAAATTTTGTCTAGTTTACTATAGTGCAATGTTTAGTTACATAAATCGAATAGTTTTTCAAGTTATCGCTTTCTATTCAATAATAAACGTAACTACCTTAAAAAAACACAAATCTTAAATTTCCTATTTTTCATGCTGGAAATTGGACGATTGTTTATATGAAATTTTTGTAATTCTTAATGTCTAGTATCAAACTTTTTAATATTTTCCTCTACTTACGGGATACCCTATACAGAGGTTAAATATAACTCGGAATCCATGGCTGTTATCCACACATATATTATTACAGTAAGGCTCGAAATCGGTTTTGTACTAAATATAAGCTCCGGTCATGCTCAAATACCATGAATGGGGTACTGTTGGATTCAAAATTTCACGGAGGATTAGCGAATCGTTTTCTCCGCTTTAGTCTTTCTTTCTAAAATAAATAAAGTCGATATAAACATTTTGCTAAGCTTCAATACTGGAACGGTTGTAAGTCTGTAGATCGATACGGGCTTTGAAGATTTTGATGCATACAGCAAGACCCGGATAGTTCCTTCGGTCCTGCGTTTTTAACCCAAAAACGTACTATTTTCGAGATAACGCAAGGCAAAGAGTTCGCACACAACCTTACGTTAATTGTAGTACTGTCATTGAATACATGTCTTATTTCGCCGACTTGAGGCCTTTATGATCGAGAGAGTAGGAGTTAATATTATTTATCGATGGTATTTAATCGGCAACTTTTGGCGATAATAACTAAATAGGCAAATAACTAAAAAACAAATATTTAATTTAAGTAACTAAAAATTGCATCGTAGTAAACTAGACAAAATTTATTTCAAACCAGAGTAGAGTTCGTCATTGTTAAATGGAACGAAAGAGGACTTTTGAGCGGTTAAACTAAGCCAGTTTCTGTTTTTTAAAAAAGCGTGAATTATTACAGATTTTTTTTTATCTCCTTCCAATTAACCTGCAGATCCCCACTATTAGACAAAATTTCTTGTATAATAATCTTATATTACTTGTTAATTCGGTTGACGTTTATTACGAAATATTTAGAGCTTCTTCTCATGCTGTGAGAAGACAAAAACAAAAACAAAAAATTGGTGATTTCTTGTTACCTAAAAGTATTTTAGCATTAAAACTAGTGTTGCTCAAAATCGGTCTTGGTCTTGAACTGTTGCAAGACCAAGTCCAGGATTGGTAAAAAAATCGATTTTTTAAAATAAAAATTAAGACAAAATAGTTACTAATACTTGACAATCTTAGTTACTATGTTATTATAACCAATGTACTTTTGCATTTAACTCTCCTAAATTTCCATTCGGGCTTAGTTAGGTTTCTCGTATCTAAAAAAATATAGTAATATCTTTATATTAATAAGCTAATAAGTAACTGCAAGACTGTTGTGAGACTCTTGCGGAAGACCAAGAGTCTCGCATTTGGGCAACACTAATTAAAACTAATTTAGCATTTTACATTTTTCAACTAAAATGACTTCAATGAAATATTCAAAAGCTTTAATTTATTTATTTTTTTACACCTGGAATGTATTATAATAAACGTGACTGCATAAATACACATTTTATATTTGATGAGATTGAGCCATCAATTTTGAAGGCAAAATAGTCTTATTTATCCGAAAATTCAGGCAAGAAAGTTATGAAAGAAAAGAAACTTTATTTGCGAATCACTAATAAATTGCACACGTTTCTCTGAGTTGTGTTCATGATCATATAAAATACTTCTAAATTCTCTACAAAAGGAAAAAAAAAAAAAAAAATCATCGAAATCGGACAATTTTTAGCTAAGATACAGCTGATTGAAATTTGTAAACATGTTGGTTCCAAACATTAATGAAGTTTTAAATTAATTTTTGTTTCCTTTGTCGATTATATTTATTGATAAAGTAAAATTTTATGAGACGTTGCATTATTTTATTTTCTTATTGATTAAGCATTTGATCACTTAAAAATATGCTATGCGAATTTTTCATACGGGTCTACTGGTAAGGAAATAAATAATTACATGTTACAGCCGGAATCGAACTTGAGTCTTTGAGCACAGGAGAAAAATTCCTTACTCTCTAAGCTACATCTCTCCTCATGTTTGTACATATAAAGAAAATCCACAAGTAAATAAGTGTATTGAGTGATAATGAATTATCATAATGAATACAAGGTCGCATCATTGAGTCGAATTTCACGTGAATTTTTAATGATGAGCTTCCGAGGATTAGACAATAAACTGCTGCATTACAAATAATTTGATCGCTGATTATATTTTTTTTCATAATTTAGGAACAATCGATTGTTTTAATGATCATTCTTGATAGCCTTCCCAGTTCCCTCGTTCACTGAACCATCGCTCACTTTCTCCATTAGTGTCGAATTTATTAAAAAAATTTAATGTTTTATTTATTTGAAACAGTTTTAGGCCTCGACGTCACAATTCCTAGGAATCGATCAAGTAGTTTATTGCACTGTTTACTGGAGAACATTCTGTTAACTGCCCTTGACTTCTTAACGATAAGCTCTGACGCACGGTTCCAATGGTTTGTTGTTCTTATCTTTTCTACCATCTTGGCTGATCGGAATTTTTTGTAAAGCCTTGTCAAAATTGTAAACAATTAGTGAATGTGAAAGTCACTTTGTTAATTCCATTAATATCTTTATTTTTTGGCCCCCTTTACCAGAAAGTTATGAATTCTATAAATATTTAATATTTAAAAAAAATCTTACACACAAAAAAAGGTAAACTTCATCGCCTAATAATTTTGTAGAAATCAAGGGCATTTATTATAACGAAGATATAGACCTCCTTAAAATACAAACATGTTTTTTTGAAGAAAAAACCCAAGTATTACCAGAAATAATTACAAATCGTAATCTAGGACAGTTTTTTTTTCTGTCCCATTCCTCTCCTTTTAGGCTATACGGTGTTTTTCCGAGGCTGGAGGTGGGGTGGGGAATTTGAATTTTTTAAATTTCCCTCCGGCACCGGGACGCGAACTCGTAATTTTTAATCTATCATAACTTCGGTTATCTGGTTGCCAGGCAACTTGCTGTGCACACACGTTAGCCCATTCGGCCACTCCGCTCCCTAATGAATCCAAGACATTTATAAATGTTTCTATAGTCATCATGTTATTTCCGTCTATTCCCTAAAATCTATAGAATTTTTTGGGTATCCCACCAAATACAAATTTTATTTCTTGAACAGCACTTTATAATTTTTAAACATCCATGCTGCAAACAATAAAAAAAAAAAAAGTTGCACAAATGGGAGCTAACACTTTCTGTTACTTAGTTCTCTGTAACCCTAAATCCCATCTCCATCGGATTGAACAGTCGATCAATTCGTTCATGAACACGCTTCATTCCATACTTTCATTCAAGGTTTCATGGAAGGATTCGTTCTTATGCTCGACTCCTATTTCATTCGCTTCGATGCTTTCACCAGTGTTACATCTCCACGCAGGTTAGCGTTTCGTAGCTGTCTTATTTATTAGGTTACTATGCCATTTATCCTTTACGAGCATTCGCAAGAGTAGGTCACGCAGGCATGCCCCTTAGACTGCTTAAATTTGTGTTCTCTTATAAATTTTCGGTTGACTCATCCTTTTCAGCCAATACTTCATTCTGCGCAATACGTCTTCTAAAAAAAATATTAATACAAGGAGGAACAGCCCGTCCCCCATTTTACAAATATACAACTGTTCATACTCGTTGCTAAAATTTTATAACTTTAATTTACAAGTATTCTGTAATTCAGATTGCATTATTTTTTATCAACAGGAAATAAACTGAACGAAACCACAGTTCGGCTAAATTTTTAATTTCTTTAAAATCTATATTATACATCGCTCCTTATTGCAAATTTGTATTATTGTATAATAATAATTATTCTTATTGCCAATTTGTAACTATAATATATTCAACTTGTCCAGCTTCATATAAGCCCGGAAATAATTTGAGCCTTTTATCTCGAACATTTTCATTGTTCGTTAAATTGTGGTTTCTATTCTATTTCATTATAATTATAATTATATCACAATATAATAAAAATATTATTATATATAATAACTAATATATTGTACTAGCTGGCCCTTGCGAAAAATTGGAAAGATAATAAAGACAAAATATTGCATCGATCGTAGGATATTCTAAATTATTAAAAAAAATAAAATGTAAGAACAACCAAATGTCTTTAAGAAATAATAAAGTTAATATAAAAGCCAAGAAAAAAAAATGTAGTAGACTATTCTACTCCTAAATGCAACATCTTTAAATAGGAGGACATTATCAAGTATACCAAAACTAATGGACTATATCTTTGTTAATAATTGTCCGATTTTTACGATTTTTGTTTGTTTTAAAGGTAATTTAGTAATATTTCTAATTATCATGCATACTTTTTTAGTTATTCGCAAATTAAGTTTCTTTTCCTCCATAACTTTTTTTCCAGAAATTTCGGGGGATGGGACTATTTTTCGCATGTGAAGGAGAACAATGTCTTCAAAATGAGTGGTCAATCATTGGATTTGTTGAAGAATTGACGAAGTTATGGGCTACCGACAAAAAAACACCTTTTAGAAATAATATATAGGATTAAAGGGGAAATGTGTAGATCGAAAAATAATTGCTGTCACCTAGGTACAATCCATCTATCACCTTCAGATGAATAAATACCATTTTCCGTACAAATTTTTAGTATGAATTCTTTATTTTGTTTTAGGAAAGTACTAGGTAACATGAACTGAACACAAATGTACTCAAATGAACAGCTGTGTAAATAGTGCTAATTATAGAGCTTGTAGGAGAGCTCCTGTAACCTTCTACTATCCTAATACTAAAATAAAATATGACATACACTAAACACTTTTTTATATAATAGAAAGATTGTTTGATTAAGAATTGAATTCTATTTCTAATAATAAAACAAACACATTTGATCCTTAAGTCCTACTTTATTTTTTGTGGCATCCAAGGTTTCAGGTCTTTAGACCATTTTCTAGGCAAGATACCTTGCTTGACAAAATAAAATTATTTGGGTTCATTTATATATATCAAATTAATTACTACAGTTCTTAAAACTTTCCTCTTAAGAATTATATAAAAATAATGTGACAGGCAAATAGCCTAAATGATATTATTTTATTAAGTAAGCATTCTTTTCTTAGCAATGTTGAAACGTTGCATAAAAAAAATAAAGTTTGACTTAAGGATTGAATGTGTTTGTTTTATTATTCGATAAATAAATTAACATTGTTCTACACTTATTATAAATGAATTTCTTTTCGCTTTAAAGAACAGAAGGAAAAACTAGATTAAAACATGTTAAAAGTCCTAATTATGTTTTAAATGATTCTTTACTTGTTTCTTATAAAATGGTTAGTTACCTCTTTTAATCTTTATCAGTTTTCTTTCACCACCTAGTGAAAGCATTGTGACGTACAGTTGTTGTGTTATGACCTTACTCATTGAGCCCAATCAGCTGAGAGATGTGACTAATTCATATCGCATAGGCCCTGACCGCTCCTATCTGCCGGCCTAGGACGACTTGATATCGCGCCAGGCTTTGGATATTTATAAAATATTATTATTTATCCAAATTATAAATATTAGTGCTATAGCTCGCCTTTCCATAGGGCAAGTTCCTATCAGTTTATCGATGGCACTGTTTTGTCCAGTTTAGAGACGGTTTCGATGCCATCGCTGAGTTTAGGAACTTGTCCATAGTTCAAGTCAATTTTTGTTTGTTGAAGTGTTGTTGAAGTCAATGCATATATTACATTAAGGTTTGCTTGTGCATTTTCGTGGATTTTTTTTTCAAATTCTCAAAACTTCTTCAGACGCGCTTGGTAGTTTTCTTGTGGGTAGTGAATGAGACTGGACCGTCACACTCATGATATATAACCCTCATCCGGGTAAAGTCAACTGATTTTTGCATTTGGATTAAAATATCTTAGAAACTAAAAATTGGTCCTGCAAAAAATGTTCAGCATTTCATCCTGTTTGTTATGAGCTATAATTTAAAATTGTATTTTGACACGATGCATATTTTTACTTTTTGAATATAGAACACAAAATAATTTATTCACAATATAATTCAACCCTGTTGATGTTTTCACTATCGTGGGGTCTTAAGCGTACGCCATACTTTTTTGTCTAATTAACAAGAAGTTTATCATCCATTACCCAATATAAACCATTAATATAACAAACCAATGTTCTACTGTTTCCCGCGGCAAATATAAAGCGGATTGTTCATCTCACTGTTTCAAACTTTTATATAAAAATAAAAATATGCAATAAATTCAGTTTCTTTGTCAACATACTTTCAAATATATTCGTAAGCATAAACATAAAACGTGTCCACTCACACGACTTTCCAACCTATTTCAGAAAAGTTTTTATATCTTAACATATGTCCATCAAGAAACAAAAAAAAATTGAACTAGATTTATTTTCCAGAAAATTGATGAAAGAAAAGATTTAAGTACGATTTATTTGATAAAGTGAAGCAATGTAAACCGGCTTAAGGTAGATCAGTGTAAAAATTTCAATACTCTCTAATATTGTTGATCAAAAACTTTTTGGCATAGCTTAATTTTGTCAAACAGTAATTTATGTTAAAAGTAGAGGAAATAGTGAAGCTTGTGTGATGCAGGCAACAGATTTTCTTACTTTCACTTAGTCATATTTTTCTTTCATTCACTCCTTTCTTATGCCAGAATATGAACCCCTAATCTTACATTGGAAATTGAATAGCTATAATTTCGTTAATAGTTGTCCAAAATGAACGAATTTTATATAGTTTTGTAGGGAATTTCATTACCCTTCAAAATTTTTATTATGAAGCTTACCATATTATATATAATTAGCGAGTTAGCCCCCAAAACATTTTTCTTTTCCTTATAACTTTTTTTTCATGACCTTTCTCGGGAATTTAGTCCATATACAAAAATTGAAAGTACAATTATTAGAACATTATAGGAAAGTTACATCAAAATTGTTAGAGCCTTTTTCGCTCAACAGTCTGTAGAAAAAAATTGTTTTAATTTATTGCGCATGGAGCACCCAATTTCTCTCACAGGCATCAGTAGTAAAAATCCTACAAAATAAAAAAAGAAGCAACAAAATCGGTTCAGTGCTTTCCGAGAAAATCTTGGCACAGGCAGACAGACAGACCAATGGGTAAAAATGTGTTTTCGGACTCAGGAGGTTTTGAAACTTATAGATCTGTCGAAAACCGCATATCGGAAATTTGACCCGATTGCAATACTTTCCTTACCTAGTATAGATAGGAACGTGAAAACAATATATCAACCTTTAATTTTATATATATTGTTAAATTATTCGTTTTTCAATAATTATGTTCATTATCACTCAATTTGAATATATGAAATAAAGCCCCGAGAATTTTTTTGAAATTCTACACAGTGAAGGGTAGAATTTCTATTCTGAGGGAAAGGGATGGATCCCCCTATTTTTTTAAAATTTAATACTTACGGATCTATTTAAAAGTATGTTAGCAAATAAATTGAATTTATTATATATTTTCATTTTTATTTAAAAGTTTGAGGCAGTGAGATAGACTCTCCGATGCTTCATATTTGCCGCGGGAAATTTGATAAACTCATCACGTAAAAATGGAACGGTTAACATGAACTCATCAAAGAATGAATCATAAAATCATAGAATATGTTGCTGCATATCAGTGCATATTAAGCGTTCCCATGTTTCATTCTGGTTCACAGAGCTGAAGCGGCTTTATCCTACTTCCCTACGACAATTCCTCCTTGGTATTTTCCTTTTCCAAGTCCTCAGAACCGAAAACCCTCCCTACATCTTGGAACTCCTTACTCTACGCTCCTTTATCCACTCTCTCAATTCTAGGTCTCAACCTCTAGATTTATATATCTCTTCCCCTCAGAAAATCCTTCTTCATTCGTGCTACCTCTTTTTGAAACTCTCTATCTGACTTCATTCGTCAATCCTCGTCCACAAATTCCTTTAAGCAACTCCGGTTCCACCACCTACTCCATATTCAATTTTCTTGTAAAATTCACTTGCGTCTGCACAAAGTCAAATTCAATCAACTGCACAATTGCAATATCAATCAACAGTTAATTAGGCATCATTTTGTATTCATTTATGCCAGACTAATGTTCTTAATTATGTTACTCTGTTATTATTCCAAGGATGCTGTAAATTATTTTTATTTATTATTGCCCAGAATAAAATTATTTTTTCATTAATTCATTCATATAATTATCAATGATGAATATAAATTAAAATTTTAAAATTAAATTAAAATTCTAGGCCTTAGCTTAGCCATCTAATCGACTGTTCCTATTTTCTTAATTGATTTTATTTTATATTATTTATTTATTCATTCATGTAGATTAATTGTCATTGACTTCTTTTTCTTCGAAATATTGGAAGAGGGGGGAGGGGGCGAAACGATATGCTCGCCCACCTTTCTATTTTTATAGGAGGGGGGGGGAATCGCCCCCGTTCCCCCCGAGGTCTGCACCTATACCCGCTACATACTTACATGCATGGATGGCATAAAAACCTGCTCATAATTAATGAGTCTGTACTTCCTCTAAAAGAGTCTTTTAACGGACGCGGCTACGCCCGTTGGCTTTCATGATATTTAAATCAAACCACAAGGATCATGAAACCTCTAACCGCATTGCTTACAAGCTAAGCCATTTTATGTAACGTTTGCTGTTTAGTGTTTAAAAAGGAATAATTTTATGTTTGTCTGCGGTTTGTTTTTCTTTTAAATTATGGGCTCATTTATTTATTTATTTTTTTAAAGAAACATTGAAAGTGATTTTTTACGGTATGGAAAGTATCATTTTTATTCTTGTAATGACTGAAAGAGATGATGAAAGATGTTTGAAAATGGGCTATTATCCTTCCTGATTAGCATCGGCAGCTCTCCAGTCTAAATTTAGAACGGTTAAAATCCTCGAAACACGACAGCCGTCACCCCGCCGTTAACAAACATTCTTATCTCTCGAGGTTCCCGCCGAGCCTTCCCCGCCATATTCATCTAATGCTCCTTTTCAAGATGTCAGGATTAGTATTTCATTAGGCATTGCAATTCAAAGCATTATAAAGGTCCTATGACCTCAACCCTATTTAAAGCCAAGTGTGAATTGAGTCGGGAATTAAAGGTCTAACACGACTAGAGATTGTTTATACGCGTTGCTTAAGCTGTATCATTTGAAATTATTATCTGAAAGACAATATTTTTTGGTCGAAGAAAATAGGCCTAAATTGAGCAATTCATTCATTGATTCTTGAGGGTGTTGGTTGACTGTCGTGAATAATGAAGAGAGGGATGGTTGGGGTGAGCAGTCAAATAAGAACGCAAAAATAAATAATAATAATGTATTTTAACATTTGCCTACGTTTCGATCTGAAGTTCAGGCCTTCATCAGGGCTAAGAAAAGAACCAGATAACAAGGTATGAAAAAATAAACAATGCAGGTAAAAAATTCTATAAAATAGAAAATTGAGATATTGTAAAGCCTATCAATATCTGTTCTGTCTAACTATTCTATTTACAATATCTTAATTTTACTATTTATTTTTATTTCTTATATATAATTTCATATTCCTTTTCTCTGTTTTACATTTTATTCTAAGATTACCATTTTAGTCCTTATCTTATTTTGATTATGTTAACTTCATTAGTCCACACAACGGTTATTATTATTTATTTCTTAATTCTTGTTATTTTCATTATTCTACCCACTTCATTCTTCATTTTACTTTAATATATTTTTTTAACTACATTGTTTATGTTTCTCATACATTGTTATCTGGTTCTTTTCTTTGCCCTGATGAAGGCCTGAACTTCAGGTCGAAACGTAGGCAAATGTTAAAATAAATTATTATTATTTATTTTTGCCATTTTATTTCTGACTGATCACGCCAACCATCCTTCTCTTCATCATTCATTCATTCATTGCTGGGCTCTACAGTACTTGAAGAAGCATGGCCTCTGGTAACGTCTTCTTCCACATATCTCTGTCTGCAGCGAAGCACCTCCACCGCTTTACACCCATCTCTTTCAAGGTCACCCTCCACTTCGTCCAACCATCTGAGTCGCGTCTTTCCACGCCTTCTTACATTTCCCGGCTTTCCATAGAGAAGTTTTCTCAGCATTCTTGTAGCATCCTTTCCATATGCCCCAACCATCGCAATCTGTCGAGTTGAATGACTCTAACAATGTCATGTTGGTAATTATTTACAAGTGGTACTCCTCCGGCCATCTTGGTTGAATTGAGGTTATCCACAATGTTTCAGATATGGTTTACAAAAAACACTATTGCGGAGGGGTTGTCTTGTCAGCTCTTGTCCAATCCACCTTATGTTCATTACAAATAATCACCAAATATAACCTTTACAATATATATTAGCACCATTTTTTTTAACTTGTCGATTTTTTTTCTATCTTCAGTATATCGATTAAGCAAACTTTATATTTTAGATGTTATTTATAGACACATATTATTTTATAGATACATGAGA